ACCAATATTATGAAAACATATCCTTCCCATATTTGCCTTTTGGTACCCCTCCTCTATGTCACATGTATGAGATCAGCATTAATTTATTGCCTTGAATTTTTTATTAGAACTTTAGCCCAAATGTGGTGTCATTTCTCTGGGCTTTAACACAAAGAATCAGGAAACAGCGTTTGAGGATTCTTGGATTCCCCATGAGACCCACTCAACTCTTGTGCAAACAAGCTGACGGTTCTGGCAGTCAGAGGGAACCCTCCTTCCAGTCTGCCAGGGTCAGGGCCACACTCAAGCTTGCTAGAGAACCAATGGTGCTGTAAGAAACAGGACACGAAGGTCCTCACTGGAGTGTGGATTAGTCTTCTTGGATTGGCACACACACACACCACCAGCAGCACCAGCAGCACCAGTTTTAACTTTCGACGCTTATTATAACGGTGAAGGCTAGAAGTCCCAGATCAAGGCTCTGTTAGGGTTAATTTCCAGAAAGGCCTCCCAGGCACGTATGTGGCTGCCCTCTCACTGTGTTCTGAGCTTTTTGCAGACAATGGGGGCCAAGACAGCCATGTGTGAGATGCCAGGAAGGCAGCTTCCTCCACATTGCATGACTTTCTCAGGTGGTGACAAAGATAGAAGAAAAATGCGGCTCATGGCCACTAACATTTAATGGCTCGGAACACAATGAAGAACGGCAGGGACATGACCTTGCAGGAGGAGAGGTTGGGGGGGGGGGTGCGACACCACACAAAGGAAACTTTGTCTAGCGCGTATCTGCTCAAGATAAAAGTGATTCTGGGATAAAGAGAGGGCAGCAGACGGGGCAAGGGCGACTGAACAAGGCCATTGTGAGTGTGGACAGGAAGGGATTGAGAGCTGTGTGAGACAAAGCTGGTTTACCGATCCCCCTGAGCGCCATAGTAGCGTGGCTCCTTGTGCGTTACAGGTACTCCGGCAGTCAGAAGGCACATGCCAGACACACTGTAGTGAGGTCACACCAGCCAAAGGGAATCCAGAGGGCCGCACAGTGCCAAGTGCAGATGTTACGCAATAGATGCTGTCAGAGAGCATGGGGTCACACCCTGGTTCCAAAGGACTGGCTGGGGGATCCCAGGACAAGCGCGTGTTCCCCTGTGTCTTACTTTCTCATCTGAGAAAAGTGCATAGCACGCTACTGACTTTTAGATTATATTTCAGTTCTATGTAAGCTAGCTCAGCATGGCCCAGGGACTCGACACAGTGTGCAGGGTAGAGGAGGGATGGGGAGGAAGGCTTAAATGGAGAGGTGGGGTGCCAAGGTTAATCTTTGTGATCTACTTGATGGGACCTGGAGTCACAGCCAATTAAGCCTCGGGGCATCTGTGAGGGAGTTTGTAGCTTGGGATGAGATGGGAAGACACACACTGTAAATGTGAGGGGTACCATTCTGTGCGGCTGGGGTCCTGGATTGGATAAGAAGGAGGGAGATGAGTAGCAGCATCCCTTCTCTGCTTCCTCATTGAAGCTGGGCGGATAGCGAGAAAGCAGAGGAGACACCCAGGAGAAATGAGGGTTAAAAAGAGAAGTGGTTTCCTAATAGGGGGCGGAGAGGGATGAACTCAGGAGGATTCACATAAAGGAGGCCTATGCCAGGCTTTGACAAAGGCCCAGGGATTGTGACTGAAGGCTGGCTCTTATCTCTCTGCAGAAGGAGGCCCAGGGAAACTCTTATACATCCTCATACCCACAGCTATGCTGGGCAGGCTCAGATTAGCTCAGTTCCATGGAAAACACCCAGGTCCCCGCAAGATGCCAGTGTGTCAACACAGGATTCACCAGGCTTGGAAACAGATACCTGCTGGGTAGGAGACAGAAACAAACACTTCCCATCATCATCTGAGGCAGGAAAGGAATGAAGACAGTTGGGGAGCCACTGAAAGGCAGATTTTATGTTAATTCCAAATGAAGTGTTTGATTAAGTGACTATTCTCTGAGCTGCTTTGGGGTATAGGGGGTTGATACACCTTGGTGTAGTGTATTGTATCTGACTCGCTCCAACTGTGCCGTGTCTGATTCACCCGTGTTGATGACTGGAGAGCCAAGTAAACTCTTTCATACTCTCACAGCAGATGCTTTTCCTGCGCATGAAGCAGCCTCCTCAGTAGGTCATCCTCCTGAGTTACAATATGGAATTACCGTGTAGAAAATTAGGATGAGACATGGTTACTGCCCAAGCCCAACTTCTCAACTTCATAAACCCACAGGAAGCTGTGTAATCACTGCTGCTCATGGAATATCTGGGTCAGAGCTGTTTTCATAACGTAGCAAAATGCTATTTACTCCAATTTCTTCTTGAGTGTATTCTAGAGTTTTCCAGGGGCTACATGATGTGTGGTATTATCACAAGCCGAGAGCCAGAGCAGATCCACAGATCCTGTGTCCTCCATGTGACCAAACACTGATTATAATTGTGTTTACTTATTTGTTTGTATGTGTGTGAGCAAGTGCCATGGTGTGAGTGTGCGTGGGGTATTAAATGACAACTTAGAGGACTCCTTCTCCCCTGCCACCATGTGGGGATTGGGAATCAAACTCAGGCTATCAGATTTGGAGGCATCTTACTGACCCAAACAGGTAAACATGAGTGTACAAAAATGAAACAGGCTGTCACTCTTGCATCTTTTACTTTGAAGACAACTATTTTTACTTTAAAATGCGTTTTTCAGATATCCTTCCTATACATATACAGTTTAAGTGAAATTAAGAGACATAGACTATCTAACAAGAAACTCCGAAATACCAGGTATTAGAAGCCCCTTATGAGTTGTTGACAGGGGAGGTGAAGAGATTCCTTAGATGTTTAAGCTATTGCTGTTGCCCTTAATTATCTTCCAGAGGCTGAAGATAAATTCCTACTGTTAAAGACACCATGCACTTGGGACACAGGACCTGGAGGTTCCAGCTGGATCTGACCTGACGTTTTCCTCCTGAGGACTAGCTTTCATGGTACCAGAAGGCCATGCATGCTCCCAGGGCAGAGGCAGGGGGTACAATCCATAGTCCTACCTGGCTGTGATGCCTTATGTACCACAGCAATGGCCACCATGGCACGATCACCCTATAGGTGCAGTAGTGACACACACTCCTTGGTGGTAACCAACAGCGCTCTATTGGACTTAAGGCCTGCTCACAAGAAGGAAATCATGCCTGGCACTGGAAACCTAGCTAATTCCCTGGAGTTGGTGAGGCCAGCGATCTTGGAGGAGAACCCATAACATCCACTTTTCTAGACCAGTATGATTTCTCACCGTACTCTGAGCACTTACCCTTATGCCCACAGGTAAGTATAGATCTCAACCCTCAACACAGAGATTTCTCTTTGAAACAGATAGAGAGAGACCAAAACAAAACAAAACAAACAAACAACAACTACTACAAAACCCCTAAACTGATCAAAATCCAGAGAACAAGTGACCATGCAAATCCCAGTCCCAGTCGATCAATCTACAACACAATTCCTGTACCCAAGGCTCAGGGAGCCTTGCAGAGGGGTAGGGAGATTGCAAGAGGCAGAGGACCATGAGGTCTGTTGTTAGATTGTGTCTCCTAGAAATAACAGGGACGCTACCCATGGATTCTCAACAGCTCGGCTGCCTACATAAAACCAGAACAAGAGAGATGCTAACACGGAAGGAGGAAATCTCATGGGGCCTCAACTCGAACAAACAGCCACAGGTAGTAAAGGGATGCTGAGAACGGAAGAAAACAGTTTCCCCGTTCTAATACCAAGTGGTCAGCTTGAATCCTATGCTTCAAGTAGTAATATATGGACTAAGCAGATTGTATTTACAAATTCAGGAATATATATAATATATTTGTATATAGATATATACACAATTAGAGACAGGGGGAGGGAGAACAGGTATTGTGGGTACATTGAACAGATCAGATGGGGGAAGGAAAAGAGGAGATTACATAACTATATTTTAATTACAAAAAGTAGAATTTTTTTTACGAAATAGCATTTTAATTGGAAATCTGATGAAATAAGATTTAGTTTGTCACACTCAAATAAGTCCTCACTAATTTAAAAAGGTGTGATGAGGTCTAGTTTGTGTTTTGAGACAGGGTATCTTGTGAAACTTAGGATGGCCTTGAACTTACAACACGCCTGCCCTAGGGCTAAGGGGTTGGAATTACTGTCTCATAGCTGGGAGTTAAGGCTAAAGGACTGCAGAGACACATTTCTTCACTTCCTCTTTGTTCTTCAGAACAGACCCATGACACACAGCCTGCGATTTCCGGCTTACTGAAGACGACACGAAGGCTCATAGAGAAACTCCTCTGTTGATCGTGGGTTCCGACCTGCTCACTCTCCTACACCCAATTGTAGCAAAGGGAAGCCTTGAGAGAACGCAAAAGCGGTTGAGATTTTTGCAAGAGGCAAATTTCATTCTCCAAAGGCAAGTCCTATCCTCCAGAGTAACTTGGTCTATTAGGAAGGAAAGTGACTTAGTTCAGAAAGAGTCTTCTGGCTCCCCCATTCGGTCCATAGTACTCTAGATGCAGCTAGCATCTGCAAGTAGGTGGGAATGGGGACAACCCCGGCAGCCACGTCTGCACAGCGCCCTCTGCTGCTCGTCTCTGCCCTGGCCGCGGCTTGGTCTAGCTGGACTGCCTTTTGCGCTGAGCAGTCCAGTGCCACCTCCATCTTACCAGGGTTTTGAGATTCCTCTGACAGCAAGTAGGCTTTCTTTGGGAAGGGGGCGAGGTGTTCAAAACAGGGGTTCTCTGTGTAACCTTGAGTATCCTGGAACTTGCTTTGTAGACCAGGTTAGCTTCGAACTCACAGATCCGCTTGTCTCAGGCGCTCCCACCCCTCCCCCCACCTAGTGCTGGGATTGGCAAGTAGGCTTTTAAATGGCTACATGAGGTGGCCTTTAACAGCTAGCCCTCCCTGGGAGCTCAACCTTGTTTGCAGCTTTCTCCCGTCCCCCCCCCCCCCGCCCCTCCCCCCCCCCCCGGACATTTTCCGATTCCAGATCTTGGGACTCACATTAAGACTCACCCTTCCTTGCTGTTGTCACCAGCGAAGGAAAAAGTCAGATCCAGATCCAGGCCCTTGGACTATAATTTGACAGTTTGCTTAACCTCGAAGGGTTGCATTCTTCTGCGGTTTAAAATGGAAATATTAATATTTGCCTCCAGGGTTATGGGGACAAAATGAGTTGTTACAGAAGCTCTTGGAAGAGGGCTGCTGGGTTCTGGTTCCTGTTCTGTGGAGGAGCTGATGCCTGTGGGTCTCGGGCTTCAAGAAGTCATGGATACTGCCTGCGGGCTGCAAGGGTCCTCACCACAGCCCTGGTTTCCCCTCAGCTCCCTCGGTGCAGGTGTGGTTCCCAAATCTCCAAAAATTTTTAAGAGAACTGCCCACATCATTGTTTCATTAAGGACCATTTCAATGGTAAGATGGCTCAGTGGGTAAAGGGGCTTGCTGCGAAGTCTGGAAATCTGAGTTCAATCACTGGAAGAGAACAGACCACATGAAGATGAGGTATGTGTGTCTACATCTCCCCCAGGCCCACACACATGCATCCACCCACCCACCCACACACCAAACAAAAACAATAAATAAACAAGTAAATGCAAAAATAATAAAAACCTTTAGAAAACATTACTACTTAAAGCACTTTCCGATTCACAGCAAACTAAGTTCAGAGAGAGTTTCATCTAACTCCTATCCCTGGTCCTGGCTTTCTCCATGGTCAAAGTTCTGCATCTTAGTGGCATAGTTGTTACCATTGATGACACTGCCGTGGTAGATCATTACCCATTTTCCAGAGTTCACACTAAGGCTTTTCTATTTATTTACTTGTTTATTCTATGTGTGTGCTCTGTCCTACAGAGGCCAGAGGACCTCAGGTGTCATTCTCAGGAACTCCATCCACCTCCTTGGAACAGGAACTCTGGCAGACCTGTAACTCACCAATTAGGTTGGACTGGCTGGCCAGGGAGCTACAGAGATCCTCCTGTCTTCACAGCTCTGGAAATATAAGTGGGAACCGCCACACTTGACTTTTTATATGGGTTCTGGGTATTAAACAGGTTATCAAAGGAAGAAAGTTCTGTACCAATGGAATTGTCTTCCCTGACCCTGGAGATAGGATCTTATGCTGTAGCCCAGACTGGACTTGAACCTCTGATTTTTCTGCCTGTTGCTCAAGTGTTGAGATTAAAGACCTGAGCCACCATATTTGGCACATTAAAAGACTTTGGAAATGCTAAACTGGATTTGTGTCCTTGGAGGACACTGAGTTGAGACAGATAAATGCCCTGGGGGAGGGGAGTGTGATTCCCATACTCCCTTTAGCTTGATGGGGTCATCCAGCCTCATTCCAGGGGCCCCAAGCCAGAAGCTCTGTGAGAACAGACCTGGATTAGGGGCTCAGGAGCAGGAAGCCTAATGGGAACCTTCCGGGCAGCAGAAAAACACGTCAGCTGAGCTGTGCCAGAGTCATTGAAGGCTTCATCACCGTTACTTAGGCTGTGGGATGACACATGGCGCACTTTGGTTAGCTTGCTGGCCACGCAGGAGGAAACATAGGGCCAGCAGCATTGGGCCAGGTGAAAACTTTCAGCTGAGCAACGGCAGGATGGAGTAACTGAGCAAGAAGCCCAAAGTGTCAGAGGGACTCTGGAGCTCTGGAGTCCTTGGGGAGGGACAGAGAGTGTCAGGGACAGTCTCAGGAGGAGATGGGGCCAAGGTTACCCAGCACGTCCCGCACGTCAGGAGCTGCGCTAGCCAGTACCTGGCTGAGCTTACTGGATCTGCATAGCTCTAAGAGGCAGACTCAGGTCTTACTCCAGCCTTACTAGAGAAGAAACAGATACTGAAGTTTCCAAAGGTTAATTTTGTCCCCATTCATAAAAGCTGGCAAATAAGACAGCTCATTCCTTCGTTCATGGGTTCATTCGTTCATGTCAGAGTCTTGGTGTATCTTAAGCAGTCCTCAAATTCAAAAGTGGCTAAGGATGACTTTCAACTCCTGGTCTTCCTGCTTCAACTACCCAGGAGCTGGGATTTCGGGTATGTCACCTTGCCTGATTTATGCCATGCCGTGGTACCAACAAGTACTGAGAGACATTCCCAGCTCCAGATCTTGGTTTCTTCGGCAGGCCTGTCTGTTCACCATCATCTTTTGTTCTAAGACAACTGTCATGGAAGAAAAAGACTCTCAGCGGTGGGAGGTTCTCGTGGGTGGCAGGGTTGTGTTTGGACCGGTGCCGAAAGAGAAACAACCAAAGCTTGCAGTTTACAGGCTACGGCTGGCGCAGGCGATATACCAGTGTCCACCACCAGGGGGAGCTGTGGGGCATCCAGGCCCCTCTCCTCTGTTTTCCTACCCAGCAGCTTGGGGCAGAGGCTCCAGAGACAAAAACAAACAAACAAACAAACAAACAAACAAAAATCTCCACAGATCTTGGTTTCCATCCCTTGCTGGATCGTGTTGGAGCCAGAGACTGTGTCACCGTTGTTATGAACACTGTTTGCTCCATAAACTAGTTGTTGTTTGCATTCCAGCAGTCCTCAAAATGAGGCACCCGAGGCGTGGGGAGGGTCGCTTCCTTACATAAGGGATTACTTATCACATTATCCTTATTTGAAGTGATGCTTCTCATTCACCAAATTGAATTTAATCGATTTTCATATTTCAAGAGCTCGATAGCTGCTAACCATATCCACTTTGCCGGCAGCTTCTGAAAAATATGAGCGCCTTTCCCCTGACATCCTCAAAGGCTGTGCATACCACTCTGGAGTAAACAGATTTGTATACCAGGCCCCAGGGAAGAATCCCCCGGTGAAGGGTGAATCTCCCAGCAAAACACAGCCGGAGGATTCGGGACAACAGATGAGTGCTGAGAACTGACTGAGGGAGATGGAAGGTTCCAGTCAGGAGACGTCTTTCCCATCCTTTTTGTTCTGAAGTGGTCTGGGCTAGACCGTAGAGTAGGTGCCACTCAAGTAGTTTCATCAAATTGGAAGACCCTTTGTGTAGAGTCTAGCCAGTGCTGTGCCTTGTGTCTATGGAAGCCTCGCACATGCATTTTCCAGTGTCTTAGAGGAAATGCGTGTCTGAGGCCGTTTTCACGCCAGTTCTGGCCACTTCAGAACTCCTGTCCAGGCTCACACTGTCTTTTGAGATGGCTGGAACCTCAGGCTCTAACTGGAGGTTTGTTTGGGCCCTGACCTAAGTGTTTATAGTTTACTGTTCACACATCAGTATGTCATACATAAATCTTGTGCCTGGATTGACACAAGAGTGGAATTATTAAGTGTTCAAAATCAAAAGACAAAGGTAACCCACTGTAGAGTGCTTGCACATGCCCAGTATGTACTAGATTCTGGCTTTACCTCCCAGCAACACACACACACACACACACACCCAGGCAGGCATCAAGATACATTATCTTTGTATTTTCAGGGAGATTGTACAATTAACACCCCACAACCTATAATTAGCACTCTGATAAATGATGTCATCATTTTAAATACATTAAGTACTATTTTGCTCCCCAATAGCTACCCCACTGAATGTTGAGATAAACTTTCAAGTTCATACTGCATTCTGGTATATTAACACTTAGATTACTCTTTACAGCGGCCTGGTTTCAGACTGAGGAGTCTCAGGCTCAGAGGGTCTGTAAAGGTTAATCAACATTGTCACGTTTACTGGATTTAGAATCACCATGGAAACACATCTGAGGGAGTTTCCGGAAAGGTTTTGCTGAAGAAGAAAGAGCCCCTTTGAATGTGGGTGGTGCCATCTCCAGTGGCTGGGGTACGGGATTGGAGAGAGAGAGAGAGAGAGAGAGAGAGAGAGAGAGAGAGAGAGAGAGAGAGAGAGAGAGAGAGAGAGAGAGAGGGAGAGGGAGAGGGAGAGAGAGAGAGAGTCTCATTCTAGGACTGCATGCTGCATGACCAGCTGCTTCCACTCCCACTGCTAGCAGGAGCCATTCTCTTTCTCTCCACCATGCCTTCCTGCCATGATGTAGCTTATCCTCAAACCACGAACCCAAATAGCTCCTCCCTCCAACCCACCTTTCTGTTACCCTTGTGATATTTTGTTAGGGCAGTGGGAAGAGCAGCTAACACAGCGCCCAAGATTATGGAGCTCCCAAGCGGACGGTGCTGCAGCCAAACGGGTCCTTCCAAGGAGCATGGCTGTGTCTTCTGCACATTGCGTTGTAGGAGCATATGGAGCCCAGCTTCACAGCATCCCCCTGCAAGCCTCACTGTCCTTACTTGTATGAGGAGGTCACCCAATTTGTAGAGCTCCTGTGTGGATGGCTGACAATGCCCATGGAACACCTTGCAGAGATCATGCATCTGGTGCCTGTCTGTCTTCTTCTCTGTCCCTTTCAGGTTCACATTTAGTGGCGTGTGTGTTACAGCTGCCCAGGCAGAAGGAATCCTGCCCTCAGAAGGCTCTGTATAAAGAGAGGCCATGCCAGCTCTGCAGGCTCCTCTGGGTCTCTCACTGGACCCTCTGTCCAGGCAGCTTCTCCCACCCGATGACAAAGGTGTGTGAAGTAAGAAAGAATGGCCAAAGTCAGAGGCACAGGACATTCAGACATTTCTGTGAGGTGACCTCTGCCAGAAAACTCCCATTTCTCCCCACAGGGGACTAGAGAGGTGTCTCCACATCAGGCCCCTGCGGAATGTGTGTCTGTCACATTCTGTGAACCTCTACCCTGGCGGGTTCCTCTTGCTGTCTCTACTTATTTCCAAACAGAGAGTACCGTCTTCTCAGTCTTCCCTTCTGTGGCCACTGACTACACTGTTAACACCCTGTATTGTTATCAGAGTGATTTCTGTAAAAGCCTTGTATCCCCTGGCAGTTTGTGCCCCTTGCAAGTGTGAGCTCCAGCTTGGCTGCTTCTGGCTTCCCAGATCAGATGGAAAAGGCCTCCACTCAGCCAAACCCTTGTACTTCCTTTTAAATGATTCCAGGAAGCATCAGTGGCTCAGCAGGAGTGTTAATCACTTCCTATCCAGTTTTCTGCCATTTCAGTGTAGGCTACTTGACTTTGGATCTAACGTTAAAGGAAGGAGATACAACTATTTCCCACTAGCTGATATGCAGGTGTGTGTGTGTGTGTGTGTGTGTGTGTGTGTGTGAGAGAGAGAGAGAGAGAGAGAGAGAGAGAGAGAGGGAGGGAGGGAGGAGAGAGAGAGAGAGGGAGGGGTAGGAGGAGGGAGAGGGAGACAGAGAGGGAGAGAAAAGATTGTACCCTCAGCTCTGACTGTATGAAGGACAACACCACGTAAGGTCAAACAGATATGCATATGTGTGCCTGGTGACTGTGACCCTATCCCCATGCTCAAGGAACTTATTGTATTTATAGTACTGCAACACACACACACACACACACACACACACACACACACACACACACACAGGAAGGCAGAAAGAAATTTTGGACAGCCTTCCCAACAAGGAAAATAGGAGGTAAATCAGCGACTATGTAACTTCAAGGAGGTGACTCACAGCTGAATTGATGGGCATTGGAGGATTTATAGGAATGGAGGAAACAGAAAAGTCAACAGGAAGAATTTTAGGCAGAAGCAATGACTCACCTAGAGGTGGAAATTGGCTCAGTGTGGTTAAGGCAGGAGTCCCAAGCAGCCTATTTGGCTTCTGTATTTATTCTGTATTTGGTGTCTGAACAGTAGGCAGGGTTGGAAGGGTATGGAGAGAATATGAGCTTCATCTTTTAGACAGTTCAGTCCTCAGAAAGCTTTTGAACAAACACGGGGTGTGTAGAAGGGGGTGTTGTTGGGAAATGGCGGTGGCCATGGTATTTGCAGGGAACTCAACAAGAAGTAACAGAAGACCAGAACAGCCCCTGTAGGACTGTTGCCACGACTCCACACGACACACCAGGACTAGGATATTGACAGTGGAAGAGTGGAAGGCATAAGTGGAGAGCCAGCAGACTGTGGACAGCCACCACTGGCTGGTGGAAGAATGCCGGAGCTTGTGTGTAAGACTGTCAAACACGTTAAGCATGAGGTCTAGCAGGGGGCCAGCGAGTGACAGCTGGGGGGCTGCAGGACAGTCAAAAAATGTGGCTGAACTAGACCCCAAAGGCGGTCTGGGTATCCTTTGCATAGGGCAGACTGCTGAAGTTGCTTTTCTTCAGGTCCTGTCTGTGTGAGAGTCAAGGCAGAGGAAGAGGCTACGGGACCAATGGGAAATCCTAAGCAGACCAAGGAGTATTGCA